AAGCACTACCTCCCGCTCTGGAACAACGAGGATCCCTACGGAGACGTGTGGGTGGCGGACAAGCCCCAGGCGCAGGGGGACGTCGTTGGGAACGGGGGAGGCGGCGGCTCTAGAGGAAGGGGACGTAGGTGGAAGGCGGCCGGGAGGTGGCCGAGCACCCTCGGGAGGCCTGTGCTGCTGAAGACATCCAGAGGCACCCGCAAAGATGAGACGACACGGTTGCCCGTGCTGCTTGCGTGGCTGGGCCGAGCTCCCTGATCAGAAGCGACCCCCCAGTCGCTTTGGGCACTGATACCAATGTGCCGTACGCCTCACAGTTTACAGGTTCATGTTACTTTGGGAGAGTTTTTTAAGCTTTACGAAACGTTGACTGAAAATACAGAGCCGTGGTGCTTGCACCCGGTCTTCTGAGGTGTCAAAAGCGTCCGTTCCAGTAGTAGCCTCTTGGCTGGTCAGTGGGAATGGGTGCTCACACCTGCAAGCTGCCACCCAAAATGGGGTCAGTGCTGAGGGGCTGTGGCCAGTCCATGAAGCCCCTTGAGGAGGGAGGTGTAAGCGGGACTTACGCACAAGTATGGTGCCCTTGTAGGCCAACACTTATGTCCTTTGTAGTAGCTCTTCTGCTCGCTTGACAACACTTCTGTGTCATTTTAAATGTGTCATCACTCTCTTTTTCAATTAAAAAAAGAAACCAAAACAGTACTATGCTGTGTGCAGATGGCTCAGAGCAGGATTTCATGGTGAATAGTATTAACAAATGAGGCTTTTTAAAGGGTAGAAATATTAAGAAAATGCATGTGATGTCCTGGCCTGTGTACTTTAGTCCTGAAAACTTAAATGAAATATTCAGTCATGAATGTTCTTTTTTAGTCTTTTTTCTTTTCTTTTTTTTTTTATTTTTTTTTTCTTGAACCTTAGTCTCCAAGCTGACTTCTCTTGGGCAGCTGGAAATGACCTGGAGAAGCAGAGTTCACTTCCATCCACTTCTTGTGAGAGTCCTGCACAAATCTAGACTAAGGTACTACGGGAAACCAGAGAAAAAACTGGATATGCCTTATCAGGTAAAGATGGATAAATACATAGGTTAATACTCAAACAAATATCTTGGGATATTTGGAAGTCATTATTCCCATATAGTAAGTGCATCAAGTTAAGATTTATGTTGTAGCTACTTTATATTAAAAATGCTACGTTTACAAAAATGCTGAGCCCTGTACAGTATGAAATGGTGAGTTTAGTGATTGTATGTACAGACTCTGGATGTGTTACTAGAGTTGAGCTTTTTGTGGAAAAAAAAAATATATATTTGGATTTTTTAGTAGCTTAACAGCCTAAGTGTTTCTTGTCTTGATATTTCGGAAGTTGGAGTTAGTCTGTCTTGTCCAAAAAAAAAAAAAAGCAAATAAATTTTAATAATTTGTATCCCCTAATTTTCTCACCTGGTGACTTCCAGATAGGTTTTTTTACTGTAAAATTATTAATGATTTTCCTAATATGTTTTACTTGTGATATTTTTGGAAATGGAGACAGGAAGTGTGGTGGGTTGGTCCCAGGTGGTTGTTTGCTCTTCACTGCCCTCTCTAGAGGGGTGTAGTAGGGAATTGGAAGAGCAAAAGTAAGGAAAAACCCATGAGTTGAGATAAAGACAGTTTAATAAGGTGAAGGGGAAAAGGGAAGCAGGAAAAAAAAAAAAGGCAAACAAGTGATGCAAAGGGAATTGCTCACCACCTCTCACTAGCAGACCAATGCCCAGCCAGTCTCTGAACAATGGGTAATTGGGGAAGACTAGCAGCTCAGTTTATATCTGAACATGTTGCATGGTGTGGAATATGCCCTAGGCCAATTCACGTCAGCTGTCTTGGCTGTGTCACCTCCCAGCCTCTTGCCCATCCCTAGCTTACTCGCTGGGGTGGCAGAGTGAGAAATGAAGACCTTGACACTGTGCAAGCACTGTTTGGCAACAGCTGAAACATTGGTGTGGTGTTATCAACACTGTTTTAGTCACAGATCTAAAACACAACACCATGCAGGCTGGTAGAAAGAAAATAAACTCCATCCCAGCCAGATGCCATTCAGGAGGGCAACACTTTACAAAGAGCTCCAGTGACTCATATGAATTCTTCCATGGGGGGAGAGAGTTATGAAACGTCTTAATGAAAGGCTGCGGTGTTCTCTTATTCCAAGTTTCCATTCCCTTTGCACATGAAGATAAATCTGGGTCTTTTTATTGGAGGTACTTCTCAGTAGGTAGTTGAGATGATACGCTTCACTTTCATGGGAGTTTATCATTCTCCTTTCATGGTATTAGTTGTAGAATCAATACCCAGAGCTGATTTAGCTCAAGAAGTTAGGAGACAGATTTTTACATGCTTCTTGCTTTATGCATTCCTTCTTTAGACAGTGTTGTGTGTTGGACTATTGTTATTAGACAAAAAGCAATGGCATAACAAAAGATTCTGTGATATAATGAGTTACTTTCAAGGATGCATGGTTCATGACTTACTCGGAATATTAGAAGGAACTAACAAGTCTTGATTTGTATAATGTCTGTATTGAACTTGGAATAAGGAAAAGAGGATTTTAGAAGCAGCAAGGGGGAAAAACACATCAGGTGTTAGATATGTTCAAGAATGGTTATATGTTAAAGAGACTAGATGGTAGTATGAACAAAAGCAGATGATTGTTTGGGGCTGGCAGATGAATGGATAAAATGGAGCATTTTGATAGAGTTGAGTTTTTTCAGTGGATTGCTACCTTTTAAGACCATTATAAGACTGTTTAAAAATCTTTTTCACTGCTCAGTGATCTGCTCAGTTATGGATTCAAAGGTCGACCAATTAAAAAAAAAATTGGTAGAAATCCTTGTTGTGAGAAGAACTTCAATGAAAAGATAGTGGTTTGCAATACAGATTGTTTTCTGCATTTTCTTTTTTTTTATGTTTTTTTGCTTGAAAATCAGATTTGTATCAATGTTTAGCAAATGTTTAGTAACATCTCAACTTCCAAAGTATGTTTTTCCTTCATGGATATTTTGAAATTTTATTCTAAATACAGCATTCTCTCCGATAAAGAAGAATCTTTTCAGTATTGTTTTTTGTGCATGGTATTTCCCCAACCTGCTCCAAAAACCATAGAGTGAAACTGGCATCACCTACCATTACTGAGCACCGGAAAGATAAGACTTCGGGCTGGGGTAGTTGTGGAAGAATTCTTTTGTGAAAATTAGGGATTTCATAAAGTCTAGTTACTCAATGCAAGTTTTGGAACATACTCTGTATCCATTTGTAATCATCAGAGAAATCCTTCGTGAGTCAAGTAGCTGTTCAATTATCTGAAATAAATACGTACCAGAATGATGATAAATAAAAGATAAATTCATCTTATCTCTTTTTTTTTTTTTTTTTTCTTTAGGCTTACTTTGAAGTTGCTGATGGTTCAGGCATGATGTCAATGGTTTTGTGGAATTCATTATGTCCTGAATGGTATAACAGTATGAAGGTTGGCACGGTACTTCTTCTTGAACAGTATGCTATCAAAACCAGTTACCCATTTAAAACACAGCCAACCCCAGGGGATTCACAGATGAAGAGATTTGCTACAATTGGTTAAGTATTGCAGAAACCTGTTTTGATTCAGTGAAATATAGCTGTAAAAAGGTAGCTCTTTGTAGAAATAAAGTGAAAGTGGTCCATTGCTGAGACTAATCGACATGGTCCATATCCTTAAATATTAGCTCTGAAAGGTGTCTTAGCATCCAAGTTCTTATTGTTCCCTGTTTATATTGGAATAATGTCTGCAAAGTTTATTGCCGCAGTTAATTAAAAACTTTATTCAAAAAAAATCTAATCCCTGATTTCAAGTATTGGGGTCATAAACACAGGCCCCTGGTACTGAATTTTAATCTGATTCTACTTCCTGATTAATATTACAGATATTGTTTGTGCACTGCTCACACCTTCTTCCAGGTCATTGAAGCACGTTGTCACCTGGTCTGACTTTAGATTTTAGTGTATAGGGTCAAGGCCCAGAGTACCTGCAAAGCTCCACTGAATAGGAAGTTGCACTGATGACTGCTGTCTGTGCTGAAACAGCAGCGCCATGGGAGTGCATGTATGAAGAATATTTCTTGGTTATGAGAAACTATTTTCTTACTTGCAGTTGTCTAGTGTGACAGATATTCAAAGGAGCTATGCTACAGAAATACAGGTACTGGAACATAACAATAATAGCCTTTTCAAACTGGGTTTGGTCAGCGTGGGGGGTTTTTTCCCCTCTCTCCTACTTTGCTGAACATGAGTTCTTCCCTGTTTTGTACTTTTATAGGCTGAACAAAATGTTAGCCAACATTGATAAGATTCAAATGGCTTCCTTGAAACAAGCAAATACGTGAGAGTTAGTGAAGGATGATATATGTATAACGTATTAACGATGACAGTTTCCTAATGCGGTTGCTACAGTGCACAAAAATAAACACCATTTTCACTGCTAGAAGCAGTGTATTCTCTCTGCCTAATGTATCTTTGCCTTAAAACCAGATCTTAATGTCTGAAGTGTTCGTGATGAGTTGGCAGGAGAGAGAAATTTTTAGCCAGGAATGGAAGTTTGGGGGAAGCTGATGATGGTTACAAGCCAGCCCTGAAAACAATTATAAAATTGCCACAAAACCTTACTATGGAAAGAGGACAGAAGAAAATATGCTGTCTGAGGTGAATTTCGCTATGGGCAAATGTCACTTCACTTTAATGGCTTCATTCACACTACACTACTGATTTGTGCAAGCATTATTGGGGTAGAAATGTTAATGAAGAGATCAAAATGGAAAATTAGGCCAATGGGCTGTAAATGGTAATAGATGTGTAATGGAAGAATGAAAAGTCAGTCTACAGTAAAGTGCCATTGTGTATTTTCAGGCCACAGATAAACTGTAGGAATTACTAATCTTCAGTTCATATCAATGTATCTACAGTATCTTTTTTCTCAGCACAAAGCTCAGAATTTTGTCTTAATATGAACTTACAAAGCACATAATACCATGCATTGATGGATCTTATGCCCATATATCCTGTAAGAAGAGAGTCTAAGGAGAACAGAATATCCAGAAAAAATTCTGGTGCAGTTAAAAAATCAATTTTATGCAACTTCTGGTGCTTTTCTTTGTTTAGATGAAGTGAAATTTAATGCCTCACTAATTACTCTGTTAATATAAATATCTCTGGATATGCACAATACAGGGCAATATTTCAGGTTTTTTTAATCATGCATGAGTGCTCAAAAAGTTCTTCAGCTAGTTAGTTAAAGCAATCAATTACACTCTACTGCTTAAGTAACAATGACTTTCTTCATCCTATATTTCCAGTTTTTAATTCCATCAAAACCCAACTTTGCAGTGTTTCCTTACAACTATTTACCTGTAAATGTAAAATGTATCTGGAAAGTTAACAAGGCCGCAAGGGATAGGGCTTTCCAAATTAAAGAGTTCTTGCAAGGCAGTATGCTTCTGGCATATTCCTACATTTCTGTGAGGCGAGTTCTGCATTGCTTCTGTTTGCAGCTACAGCATTGTATGACATGCTGAGAGGTGCTGTTTGAGGACCTAAAACCTTTGGAGCTTAAGTAGTTGGTACCAACGCCTTGAATTCCACTGCTAGGCAACACCTGTGTTTCACAGATCACTGAATTTATGTGGTACTGAGGAAAACTGCTGTTTTGAATAGCCTGAACTAACCTTAGCTTCCGAATCATCCCAGGGTATAGTCTTGAGTATATGATTTTCATCGAATCTCAAAATGATGAAACAATTGATAAATAGTTTTGATGCATCGGAAAGTTTTGGGTTTAAGAATTTTCTCTGAGATACTGTCCTAAAACATCATGTGCAAAACCACGATTGTCCTCCAAATAACATTTCTAGAAAGCAGCAACCAAAAGAAAATTCTTAAGTAGAGGGTCTGATTTCAAGTATAACACCATCTTAATGTCACCCCGCTAGCATGAGGTGCTGGATATAATTATATAAGTAATTGTATATGTTATTTATATCTGTTTAATTACTTTTCTGGGTGTGTTATTTGAATAATCCCTTATACAAATCCAAGCATCATGTAGAAATTTCATCAGAATCTTTTTCATATCAGCAAGATTTGTCTTGGTGTGAGAGACAATAGAGTATCACCTTGTGTATTCTAGATGCTGAAGCCATTCCTCCTGTATTTGTCCTGCTTCCCCCGGTGCTCCATCATGTTTGTTATTCAGAATCTAAACAGTCTGCTAAATAAACTAAATTTTTCAGGTGCTATAGAGTAGACGTGAGAAGACTTTTTGTTTTCCTCCATGGCTGTGGTGTATTTCTATCATGTTAATAACTACCTGAAGTGGTATCAAATGTGGAAGTTCTTCTCTGATAGTTGTCTTCTATTTTGCTTCATTGTCTGCAAGTCAGTTTTAGATGTTAGTGACATTTGAGAATGATGCTAGTGTAAAAAGTACTTCATATCTAATCAGTATTGTAGTATTAGTTTCTGTTGCTGGTTTTTAAAATACCTTGCTGGGTCAGACTAATCAGCTCATGTAAGGAACTGGAAAATTTAACATTGCTGAGATTATAAAAATGCATTGTTGGATGCTGTACCTGACTTTCTTACTTTATTTTGATGAAAACATAAAGTCAGAGGAATTGATTAATAATTTCACATGCAGTGAGACAAAGTTGGAATACTTCATTTAAGAAACTTTACTCTGTTTTTTTAGGGGTTTGGGGGTTGGTTTTGGGTTGGTTTGTTTTTAATTTGTATTCATGCCTTACATGTTACTGACTTTTTTTTTCTTTGTCAGAAATCAGCCTTAACGTTCGAGACCCTCCTACTAAAATAAGTATTATTCCAGAAGAAACAGTTAAGCCAGAGTGGGGATTACCTGAAGTAAAATATCGGTTTATCACAAGGTAAAATAGAATTTTGTAGGTTGTCAAGCTGGAACTTAAATGTCACTACATTACACTGAATGTTAATTGGAAATGGTTTTTGAAATGTTTCTGAGAAAGCTTTATGTTCTGTTATTAACAAATACCCACATCTTTGTTCTGGTTTTGTTTTAGGTCAGAACTGGATGACTTGCCGAACAATCATTCCTGTGATGTTATTGGTCTTGTGACATTTGTAGGAAGGGCTGAACGAGCAAGAAAGAGAGGTTATTCTATAAACATGACTTTAAGAATTTATCAAACAATTTTTAACTTTCTGAATAAATGCTTATACATTTTTCCTAATATTTGTTTATATAGAACATGGTGAAGACTTCTGGCTCTATCGTTGGGCACATGCCATTGATGGGACATCAGACCAACCATTCGTACTGGAATTATTTGCAACTTCTCAGCCAGATGTGTTTGAGCATATTCACCCAAGTATTCATCTCTATAATACCTATTAGTAATAATTTATAGTGTTTTTCTAGTTGGTTGCTAATTTCAAATTCTGAGTATAATTGCCACTGAATCAAAAACTGCCATGGTTTATCTCCTCAAACAGAAAATAGCTGATCAGGATTTAAAATTTTAAAGTAAAAAAAATGGTTTAAGTATTTGAAACACTTATGGTATTACAATCTGCCAGTTAGTCTAAATAAATAGATGGGCAGCTGGGCCCGGGTCTCACCTGATCTCATTAATTTCAATAGAAACTTAACTGGGGCAACATCTCTTGCATCAGAAGCAAATAAAGGCGGCAGCTGATCAAATCTATTACTCCTTTTTTTTTTTTTTTTTTTTTTTTTTTAATAGCCAGGACTGAGTTAAGAGGATTGGAGGAAGGGAGAGGTGAAAGTGGAAAAGCTTCATTTCTTTGAATAAATACTTTTTGGCCAAACAGCAGCTAGTACCCAGCTGTGTTAGTTATTGCATGTGAGCTAAGAATGATAAATTTCAAACTGGAGAATCCTTAATTAAGGATTTTAAAAGAGCTTTAAGTATTTCTTCTTGCCTTCTTTCTCTTCTTCTCCAAGCGCTCATCCTTCCATTAAACTGGTTGGTGTCATGCGCATTTTTTATATCATATCAAGCAGGACCAGCTGCACAACGCTGTTAAGATTATGACTGCATTCATCTTGAGTGTTCTGGGGAAATGGCAAAGAATGACATTTCAGTGTTTAACTGAGATATTAACAAAAGAGTGGGTTTGTACTCTATTTGGAAGTATGTCATGATTTCTTGTGCTTTCTGTGATTTTTATGCTTCTTATCCTTAAGAAACACAGCCATCTAATATCCATATTTTTACTGTTTTATTGATATCCTACATGATGAAGTATTTAATGTTTTAGCCCTGATACGTATGCTAAAATTTCCTTGCTTAGTTGTTACATTGAAAATTTAATTAAATCTCCATATTGTAATTTATAACAGAGGCTTAATATACGCTGAAGCATTTATAGGATCAAGAACTAAAATGTCTTGTTTAGAGCACTTAATAAAATTAATCCAGTGTGTGTCAGTCTTGACATTCTAAAATCAATGAAATAACAGGAAAAAAAAATAATTTTTTTTTTGCTCCAGTGACCTATTTGGTGTGTACACAGATGAGAGTGGTACGGGACCTCACTGAGAATCCTTCCAGCACAATTTACCTTACGACTTCAAATGAAAGTCAGATATTCATTACAGGTAACTTAAACTAGTTTTAGTTTTATGTAGTTCTCCTCTTATTTCTTTGGAAAAGGTGTTTTTGTTTTACAACAAAATAATCAGTGTGTAGTATTAGTTTTGCTGTCAGAAATGAGTGAGTTAATAATGAAATACCATTGCATTCTTGCGAGGCATTAATGCTTGTATTATGAAAAGTATTATTAGGTTAAGTCATACGTTTACTAGTTCTTCGGAGTGTTTTAATCCTTTGATAATGTATCAGTGCAGATTACCACTTCCTTAAAAACATTAAAAATCACTTGCAGCTTTTCTGGCTTACAGATTTAGTTATTACACACACACACACACACACACAAAAGAGAGACAGGCAGTTATCTGAAATTTATCTTAACTAGTCTTTTTCACCAAATATTTTGAGAGCTATTTTCATCTTTCCCAGTGTGCAAGGCCTTACGCAGACTGTGTGGTCTAGGAAGGGATGTGGTGCTGGGCTGCCCTGAAGGAGCATTCCTTTAAGGTAGTCTTGTTTGAATACTCCTGTCTGCAGTTACAATGCTCGTTATGGCCCTGTGACACTGTACACTAGGTACCACCAGTCAGCGTGTCACAGGCAGGACCAGGCACAGCTGTTTACTTGCTCTTGAATCAGGAGTCAGTTTATGGCAGCATTGCAGGCGAGCGATCCACTGCCCTCATTGCAAGGGAGTATAAGATGCGATAGGTGTATCTTTCCCGTGTTTGTTTATCCAGCTCACTTCTTCAGTGTTCCTAACATTATAAGTCACCCAGTCTGAATCTTTCCACTGACAGGTGGGAACAATAAAAATAACGTGCTAAAAAGGTACCTGAACATAGTCCTATGCACATGGTCTTTCCTGACAAGCTGGGTAGGGTGTATGGTGCTTAATTGGGCTAGCAAAGCAAGCTAGTGTTTTTGTTAATAGGTTTCTAATGATTTAATTTACTCCTAAATGAAGGGTTTAAGAGGTTGGTTTTCTCCTTTGCTCTCTTTCAGTAATTTTGTGCTTAATTTTCTAATTAAATACGTAAGCTTTCCCCCAACCTAGCTTTAGGTAATTTTATGTCTGTTTGGGTTCTAAATGAAAACTACAGCTGGAGACTGCAAACCACTGGATAAGATCTGTTTCAGTTTATGGTTGAGATGAAGACCTGGTCTGTTTACAACTTATTTGATAAAACTCTTATTTAGTCCATATCTTGGTTTTAATCCAGCCAACAATGAATACATACCTTGCCTATTACTGTCAGTAACAATCTTTGCTGAACCTTATGAAAATTATTTATCTGCTCTTTCCTGCTAATAAAACAATTTCTGATAATTTTATTGTTTTGTATACTCCTGTGAGAAAGTATTCTAGCAACATTTTTGCTACTTGTTTTATTGTTTTCTAGTACTTAACATTTGTATAACTTTCAGTGTCAAGTGCAAGTGTTAGTCAAGGAGTTCAAGATACTCATTTCATAAACCACTGTTGACTAATGGAAAGATGTCTTTTGTATTCTCTAGTCCAGTCTTTCTTAATTAGTTGTTTTTTTCTACGTAGTGTTCAGGATAGTTTCAGTATGAGAATGGGTGACAGTAACCTGCTTTGGTTTTGATACTTGATTATTTTTGTTTTAAAAGGGTGGCACAAGGGCCAGCCATACACCAAGGATACCAAAGTGAAAAACTTCATTCAGTGGACTAAAACACAAAGCGAAGCTGATCAAATGAAGAAAACTGTCATTGGTGGCTATTATCCTTTTCCTCGACCTCCAAAAAACTTCTTGAAATACTGTAAAAACAATAAAGGTATGATACCATCAAATATCTTTAAGACTTGTAGCCTTTTGCAGTTCAGTTTTACTCCAAGCATTTAAAGCATCAGTTAAAAACCAACAGTTACTATTAGCGGTTACACAAATTTTTAATGTAACTTAAGAAAAACTCCCTTTCAGGACTAAAATAGGCTAAATCCTCATCTTACAGAAAGTATCATGGCACCATTAGCTGCAGAAAAACTGTAGCAGCTTACACGAGCTACAGATCTGCCCAGAAGTTTTACTCTGAATATTGTGCTAAATCAGAATTAAAAGCAGTTATTTTGAAGAATTCAGTAAATTAGAAATTTTGCCTGAAACAGAAATTGTGATATCTGATAATGCATACTAAAAGTTGCTTATGACCTAAAAAGGCTTATTGTTTAATTTTTTTCCATGTGATGTGAACAACATAAATATTTAAAAATCTTCAAAAATGTAATTTTAAATCCATTTCATATTTAATAACAAATTATCTTTTGAGTCTTGTGTCCAGACAGTTTGATACTGTGTTTCTTTAAAACTTGTTTATGGAAATTTCTCATTTGCAGTTGAATCAGTTTTGAAAGCCATAGGTGAAATGGGGAAAGAGATTGAAGACTTGCACTACAGAGAACACAAGCGGATTGCTGTTCAGGGAATAATTAGTGCCATAAAATACATCAGCTGTAGCAACGCAGCTGAAGAAGCCTCAGGAGCAGAACTTGTTCAGGTACAGTGTTTGAGAATTAATACAGTAGCACTTAAGCAACTATGATCATAACTAGAATGGGGGATTTTGCATTTGAATTCAGAACCTACGTTACACTGCCTCTTGATTCACTTCATTTGTTATTTTGAGAGCCAAATTTTTCAAAGTCATAATGTAGAACTCTTTAAAAGCAATGATTCGGTGCTTTTCTGAAAGTGTTGTGATAGTTCTCCGTAAAACTACATAACTGTTTAGAAGTTACTATTTTGCCCAACTGGATAACCTAATGTAAGTTAGAATGTGAGAGAGGCAACTACTGCAACATGCTCACTGTAACTTTCTAGACAGAATTTATCTTCTTAGTATGATTATAAGGTAGTTTCTGCTAGATACAACATGGCTTTCGGACAGCAAATTGTTCTGTTCCTTTAAAAGCTACTTTAAAACTTGGAGGTTTTTGAGTTGGAAGGAATAGCTTTACGTGCTTTGAAGCAATTAACTGTTGTTGCAGAAAGATACTTCTCAGTCACTTGAAAGTTCTGCTATGTCCAAAGACGACTCTGTTCACAAAGAAAAGTCTTCTCTGGGGCCACATTGCACTCCCAGGGAACAACATCAGCGCCAAGCTCTACCGCCAAAAAAGAGTTCAGTCAAGAGGAAGATACCACGCAGATTCAATACAACTGGAGAACAGTAAGCTCTCATCGTAAATATGTAGTGGACTTTCTAAAGAGTGTTTATGTAAGAAAGCTTTAAAAGCATATATAGTTTAATATTTAAAAGGTCATTAGGTACTTTTCCTAGCATCAGGTGATGACAATTATACTGTTGAGGCTAATTAAGGATTGATTAAAGCAGCTGTCTGGTTTACAATGCTCTCCTCTGATTAATATTAATGCTACTTTGTTGTTAATCTCACAGATTTGAAATAAAAGTAGTTAATACTTGAACCACATATAGCTTAGTGACATAGTTGTGGAACAAGCAACAGTTACAGTGGTGTGAGGAAATAAGATTTCTTCACTGAAAATGCAGAGTAAGGATCTGGTATACCTGTTCCTTAATTTCAAACATACCTTACTTTTTACTTCCTGGTTAATGGAACGTACTGTGTGTAGCTGTAACTTGCTCTCAGAAAGGCAAGTAGGTGGTGGTCATGTGCTAACCTAAAGATTCGAGATAACTTGTAGTACTATGGCTCTGCTTGTGATGGGATTTCATGAAATTGTATTGCACCTAGTCAGGCATAGACAAAGGATATCAGTCCAATAGAAGGAAACGGAATAAGGCAAAATAATGTGTCTGATACAACCTTATTAGGTTCAAGAGTAAGCTTGTATAGGGATTGCCCTTTGTTGCAATGTTTGTGCAAAGTCTAATGTACCCATACTTAGTATTAAAAGCCTGGTGTATATGTTGGCAGATTTAAAGTTGCAAAAATCAAAATCTGTCCAGTCACATCTTTTTCTTTTTTTTTTTTTTTTTTTTTTTTTTCCTCTTGTAGTGGATTTCTCATGCTGTAAAGGGTATATTTTTCTTCTCGACTTTTCACATCCAAAAGTCATCATGTGGGAAGAGGGTGAATATTCAGAATACTTTGAGGGAAAATGAGATGAAATATAATTAGGATTGGATGAAAACTTAAGACTAAGAAAACTCTGGTGAATAAAGTTCTGTCTTGGCAGTGTTACAGCAAACTTGTTAGTGGATTTTCGTTCCGTAAGGAAAATTCCAGCATTTGAGTGTCATAGGTTCATTCTGCCTGACAGAAAAACATGCATGTTTTTTGCTTTGTTTATTTCCATTTAACTAAATACTGTAAAATAATAGTGAATTTCCTGCTTGAAGGGGAGGTGCATCTGTTACTTCTGTATCATCTTACCGTTACTTCACACGGTCTGCAAGAAGAAAATCTGGGTAAGTCATGTGAAGTTAATCATGTTAAATAATTGCAATGATGAAACAAAGATACTTGAAGTGAGACTTTCACAGGTCAAGAATCTGTATGGAAGTGAAATGAAATAACAGATCAGGATAGAGTTTCATATCTTCTATTCATTTCCTCTGCACTGATTCTAGTTTAAATATATTGGATTATTTTATTCTGAAACATAGTTTTGAATGTGTTATTAAACATTATTTTTTTATTATTACTAGTGCTACTTAGGGAACATGCAGGAACAGGGGTCCATCATGATAAGCAGAGTTGTTGTTATTTGCTAGTCTGGGGTAAAAAGCTTTGTGCATTTTGTTTAAGGACTATAAATTCTTGTCATTTGTTCCAAACAGCTCAGGTAACTTGAGTGTTTGAACTCTTTGGTGTCAGTAACTTCAGATGTCTGGGGTTTTTGGCAGCGGTGATTTGGGCTTGTGTCATGAGTATGTACGCCCCTTAGTTCCCTCCTTAGTTTACTTTTAGCACCTCTTCCCTCCCCGCTAAAAGAATCATGGTGCTAGGGATATAGCAACAATAGTAGTGATGGAGTTGATCATAGTTGTTGACCATTCTGCCAGTATCGCTGCCCTGCAAGCATGCCTGTTTCCTTGAAAAACATCTCTTGGAAGCTAATTTGCAAAAGCTTTTTTCTGTGGGATAAAACTTTTTTGAGTCCACATCTGTTGTTTCATCTGGTGCTCCTGGTAAATACTGCATTTTCTCGGGGAAATGGTTGCCTGGCTCTGCAGCTTGTTCATTAAAAAGCATGACACCTGGCTTTAAGGTCACATCTCTGCAGGTGGTTTGCAGTTTGCAGAGACTTGAGGTACAAATACATAGGAAAATCAGGAGGTTTTTTTGGAATGTGAGGAATCCTGTTTTCTTTCGCTTGCTGAGAAATGTTCCATTTTTTTCTTGGGGGTGGAGGGTGGGAAGAATGTTTTCTCCCCATTCCTTAAAAGTGAAGCAAAAAGTTAAGGCATGTTTACTTTGTTCTTTGCTTTTCTCAATCTGCTACTCTCCTCGCTACCTGTGTGTCCACTCTATGCCATTAGTGCTAGAACCCCAACTAAAGGAGGAGAAAGTCTGTGTTGGATTATGGAAAGCTGTTTCACTCTATATAATTAAAAGGTAACTTGTGTATTTCTGTAATTAACTATGAAGTTGTGCTGAATTCTCCAAATTGCAGAAGAAGAATAGAAAGTTAGCTTGACATACCTTAAAATTGCATTGTTTTCTGTTCTGTTGCTTAGAAGTAGCAGAATGTCAGCTCTTGCTGAAATATTCTAGTATGTTGATGAAATAACAACAGTACAGATATATTTTGAAGTACATATTCTAGCTTAGATTATTTTGCATAGAGTATTTTGTGCAGTTTTTCAGCATGTGGTTGCATTTTTTAAGTTTTTTTTAGTGTTAAACAGTAAAAGCTTATTTTAGGCTCTTTATTGTCAGCCTCAGTTCCTACATTTCTGATTATTAAGGGTTTCAGAAAGAACAAGGTAAGAGGTAACTGGTTAATTTAATATTATTGTTGATATTTATATTCTTGCTAGTAGTGACATTCAACATAAATGTACTTTTAAGCATTTAATACACCCCAAAGTAGTTTAATTGATAGTTTATTGTGAATGGGGCAGGATCAGGAATTTCAGAAAGCCTTATTTTTATGTGGAAGTGAAAAAAACCACAGTAGTTTTCTTAAGTTTTAATCTTTGTAAGTTTAGCACTGCAGTTACCGTGGAGTTGCGGGTGCATTACATGCTTACACTCTGCACTGCTTAAAAGTAACTTGTTTGTATGCTTCTGTTCTTGCAGTTTCACTTCTAAATGTTTATGTGACTCAGACCCTTTTCTCCTTTTTCCCTCCCCTCTGATGAGAGCTAAGGGATGGGGATTCTATAATACGGGGAAATTCAGCTTAAGGTTTGCATGACTGAAAGTTTCCCAGATTTTGACGTTTCCTTCAGACCTCTTTTTCACATAAATCAAAATTTTTCAGAGGAAAATTGGTAGTTATCAACAATCAATCTGTGTAGACTTGTCAAATTATTGTAGAAGGCTGTTTGGTTTCTCTGTTACTTGCTGTGGTAGATGTGTATACTGTAATGATGTCATGACAGTTGACTTAAGTTGATTTCAAACCAGTCTATAAAGTAAGGCTTTTACCCGTTATATCAGTGAGTGGGTTGTTTTGTTTTGTTGTTTTGAGGCACTTTAATCCCTTGCATCATTTGGACATAGTTACAAGTTGTAACTATTTTCTTTCTTAATTTTTTATCCCATTTAGTCCCAGTGCTTAAGAAATATGTGTGAAGCACAAGACATGCTTATTTTCCCAATATTTTCTAAAAGTATTCATCTGCTACCTATTTTGATTAATGTTATTTTCATTGACAATACTTTAAAGTAAAATGACTGAAAAGGTGAGTACCAGTGCATCTGCAAATTGAAGAAAGGCTTTTTTTTTTTTTTTGCAAGTGTGCATCTGTGAAAAAAGGGGAGTCTGCAGAATGCAGTCTGGGAATAGAAAATTTGGCATGGCACAAAGCTGGCATGGGTAAAATAGGAATGTGGGTGGTTTGGTGTACAACAGCCACAGCATATTGCAGAAATGGAAGGATTTGGGTTATATTGGGTAGCTTGCAGACATACTGACTGGCAAAGAAGCGTATAAACTGTGTGTATAGACAAGCAGGTTTCCATTACGAACCTAGCTCAAGTTACGCTGTACACACATCCAGCACAAAGCAGTCCTGTAGGAATAACGTGTTGGGCAGGTAGGAGAAGTCATCCAGCTACAGATCTGTGAAAAAAGGTGGGAGAAATTGTGACAAGTTACTTTCCTATTTTTCAGAGGTTCTGCCAGCTCTAAATCAGAGCCTATTCACCTCCAAATCTAGATAATTTTAAAAGAAAAAGAAAACATTTCCATAATATCAGCTTGTCAGCTGTATGACTTGGTTTAATCCTCTGCTTTAATGAAAAGGGAAGTTGCCATGTATCTAACTTGACACATTGATTTCTGAGCAAACCTTTCCTAACATTGTGCTAGATCGTCACGTCTCTCACTGAGAAGTCCGAGTCTTGGAAGTGAGAGTTAATTTTGTGGGCACTAATTTTTAATTAGACTGTATTGAAAATGTCTTCGAAGGGCTTGAAAATGTATTAATATAGCCTTAATTTTGTGGGCACTAATTTTTAATTAGACTGCTTTTGTTAATACTTTTGAAAATGTCTTCAAAGGGCTTGAAAATGTATTAATATAGCTGGTATGTAAATATTTAGTTTATTGTTATGCATATACAGTAATTACTTTCCATGGTGGTTCTTGTAAAAGGAATTAATTCTACATAAGATACTATTTTCATTGAAACATTCTTTTATCTAGAAATAATTCCGTATGAAGCACAATGTAAATACTGAATTATCATTTTGAAAGAGACAAACTTTCCTGCTACCTTTCATCAGTAAGCATTAAGATGCCACTGCATAAACTTAGATCTGACATCTTGCATGTATCTTTCTGAGGTTGCCCTGGACCTCAAAATTTGAAAAATACTTTGTACTACACAGTCACATAGAAACACGTACACATTTTCGTTTACCAACATTTTCAACACAACTCTGCTCAGAAGCTTGGGTGGGTGGTGGGAAGCAAGTAGGGTCATGCTGTTTTAAAATTTGCTATTTGGCAGCTTTTTTTGTTTACAAAATTAGGTGGCTGAAACCTCAGTTGAAACCATTTGTGCTGCTTAAGTGAGGTTTCTTTTGTGCCTAGAGTTGGATATCACAAGGTCACTCCAGTACTTAGCCCACACCATGATGATAGTGCATATCATAAAATGTATTTTCATATGCAAAAACCACAATGTATTTCCTTTTCTCTTTTCACTAGATTTTAGATATTTTCCATTTGTTATGAAACACTGACATGAAATTTTCAAGATGTATCCTAGTATGCAATGGGGAAAATGGAAAATAGAAACCTGAAAATCCTTATGACTGAAACACAGAATGTCCCACTAAACAGCATGTTTGTCTGATTCCTTTTTCTCTGTCTGTATGTTTTCCCTGTGTATTTGCAGTTACAATATTTTATTAGTGACTGCTCTGGCAGTCTGGAATTGTAATGGTACCTTAACAAAATCTTGCCTACGTCTCAGTTGTTTGTGTTGCAAGATAATTAAGATAGTCTTATTTCCTAAGTTTATTCAGACATCATTGTGAGTTTATAATAAGAGAAACAGAGCAAAGAAGAAAGGAATAAATGGGCCTAAGAGCTTATTTTACCATGCTGTGGCTGTGGAGTATCTGTTACGTTTTTCTCCCGCATAATGTCCTAGGTAATTCATTAAAGACTATTAGAGAATAGTTTCTTACCATTAATTCAGAATTTCATGGTTAAAAATGGAAGTATAACAAAAAATCTAGTTTGCTTGATTGAACTGATTGTTACAACAGGGTAGTATGTCCAAAGGAAAATATATAGTTGGAATTTCTCTATCATTTTGGATTCTGGAGTGATGATGCGGCTCCATTCACGCTTTGTTTTTCACTGCTGGATGGTGCTGATATGAAAATGAAGCAGGATGCTGTGCAAGCATTTTTTAGAATCAAGTCATAAACCTGTTGGCCACCTGTGATGTTCAGCTTTTAGGGTCACACCTGCTATTTCCAGTAGGTGCCCAGTAGAGGGCAACAAACACTGGTTTTTGAGTGTAAAATATGTCCCGATTTACTTCATAAGGCAAAGAAATACAGCAGTTCTTGTCCTAAGCTCTTCAAAACTGATTTACTGAGTGCAGTAGGTCTCATTATGTGATGGCTATATTACAAGTCTCATGATATGAAACCAGGTACTAGTGCTCACTCATTCAAGCTTATATCATTTTTCACCAGAAATCTGTCAAGGTTTGAATGTTTGCTGCATAGTATTTGAGATTAAATAGGTTTTAAAATATTATATATATATATACACACACACACACACACTATGACTTTTTTTTATAGCTTGGATGAATTTCAACATGAAGATTTTGTGCAAGATAAAAATGGACAGGCTGTATCAGACAGTTTACAGCACTGCACAGGTACGTTGCAAATAGTTGTTGCATTAACCTCAGGAGGTTTAAGCCTACTTCTTGTCTTCAGGTACAAAACAGGCAACAAAGATATCCTTATAAGCCTTGTTTGTCAAGACAGCTCTTCTGCACATCTGGCTGCATCATCCTCTAGGGAGCCACTGTAGCAACGCATTGTTAATGTCATTCTGCTCAGTCATGTCCCTGATGTGTTCTGAAGGAGGCTGGAAGGACAGTGTTGGGCTCTTTCCCAATATGGGGAATAAATTCTCAGTGTTGCTTTATACAAGTTTTAAGTTTGTTCCGAACCTCAAAAGCACTTAGTAGTGTAAGACCTCATTTTCTATTGGCAGTTTTCTTGCTATAGTCAGCTGCATGTGATAAAATTGTCCCTCTCCAGGAAGGTAGCCCCTAAGCTATGTGAATACCTAATTAAAAAGACAAATACAAGATGTAGGAGGAAATGGATGAAACATACAAGCCAGTACTAAGAATGATGTTCTGTTCAGGGATTTTTTTCTAAGTTAATATTATTACTTTTTTCTTTCTTCTCTGCAATTGAAAAATAAACTCATGTTCCATGCAGTTAGTATCTTGGTATCTATTTTTGGATGAAGGAAGAAGTCTAATTTGTCAGTTGTCATTATGTGCAGCTTGGTCTGTTTTTTATTTCATGCAAATATTTTGACATGTTTTCCTATTTCCAAAGCTGACTGAATATACTCTGAGTCATGGAATTTTATCTAAAAGTTCATCTACTACTAGCATCTGTCCCTTTTATTTTTGCAAGGCGGCAGTTGATCTGAATTTAGTAATTACCTCAATAGGTTTTCTTTGTAGCCGGTTGATGATGATCTACTCCATTGTGCTGCTTTAAAGCAATAGAAATTCCAGTGAATTTTCCCAAATATTTATTATATTAAGAGACTGAAATGATGAAGAAACTTTCAAATTGGAGAAAAATTTATACAGGTAACTTTAAAGTGAAGTTTTATTCCAGAGAAGGGGCAGCTTCAGGTACTTTGTAGAGACCTGTTCTTCAAAAGTAAGAAAATATATCTGTAAAAAAGTTTGGTAATTAATTACTTTATTGGTTGTTAGTCTTCGGTGAAATTTCTTGTTGCTTTTAAAAATGAGAAATCAAATTGAGTGTTCTCACCTGAAATTATTTTTACAGAAATTTCTCGTAGCTGTAGTGTTTATTGTGCTATGCTGTTACTTTCTCTAGAATTGCTGGGATCTCGTGTAGATCTCATAAAATGAATGCATGTATGTAGTTTCAATGAGTTGGGTTAAAAGATTGGTTTTCAAAAAAGAAAAAAGGATGTGAAGATGTACAGTGAAATACACACCTCTTCTTTAACTATAGTAAAGAAATCTTGCATTAGGTGTTTAGATTTAGATACTTTTATTTACATATTGCTATCTAAAATACAGATAATTTAGATACTTTTATTCTTAAGTCAAAATACCATTTACACTGATATTTCCTCACTGCATGTGAAACCCTATTTAACTTCAGTTGGCTGATATTTTGAGTGTAGTCCAAAATAAATGAATCAGTCTCTCATCTAATGTAAGTATGCAATAATTATATGAATATCTTAGTAAATGTAGCTGCTGAACATATGCACGTTTTTTTTCTCACATAACGTCAGTCCTACTGGCAATATATTAGTAATCTTATATAAAATACTAATTGTTTAGCTGTTGCTAGTTCTGTCTAAATAACAGCGTGTTTATATTTTACTTATCAAGCCTATTAATTATGGTGTGTGTATCAAAGTGAAAAGCTTTTCTCTGCTGTGTTCCTTCAGATTTTGGAGATACCTTTTTCTGCAGTATTCTGCGATTGTATATCAGTTACTTATGTATCATATACTTATTTTCCTGTTTACTGATATGCAGGTCATACATACCATATAAAATGTTACTCTAAGCTTCATAGTGTTGTTACCATGGTCCCAGGTAGAGCTTTTTTTTTTTTAATACCAGCAAGGGAAACTGCCCTAAGCTGCCTTTAGAAGCTATTTATGGGAACATGAAATTCTTCCCTCCCTCCTTTTATAACTATGTATTAGTGGTGCTGACACTTCTGTCTCTTAGCAGCTCCGTATCATAGCAGCCTGCATCAGAATAACAGGTTTTGAGTAGTCATTGGGTGGATGTACAAAAAGAGCTGATAGAGATATCCAAACCAAAATAAATTATTCAAGTGTATTTTTAAATATTGAAATATCTTGGGGGGGAGCAGTATTGGGATGAGGCTCACTCACTGGAATTTCATTTACTCCAGGTACTATTTTTGCAAGAGGTACAAAGGAGGAATAAAAGATCTCAGTCTGTGCTGTAAGATAACATGAAATGTAACTGTAAAGCAGAAATGCATTGACTCAGTTTTACTGACAAAAGTGTTTGTAAGAAAGAAACCTTATAGTAACAGTGCAGGCTGATGACCAAATTAACTTGTGATTTTTTTACAAGAAAAAAAATCTGCTGTATACTGTAATAATACAGTAGATTTTAAAAAAACAATCCTGCTAACTGAACTCAAAATAGGGTTCATCTCAATTGCTTTTTGTGAGAAATCATGTATTTAAATGTTTACCATAGCAATTTTTATAATTTTGATTGGTTTATAGAAGAAAGTATCCTTTGTTGTCAAGAGGCTTTCTGTAGCTAGAGGAGTTCAAACATTTGCTTTATTTTTCATCTGAAGTATAGTCAGATTGTTAAAGATTTCAGCATCTTATCATTTAAATAACCAGTCATGGCTGTTTCTACTGTGCTGTCCTAATTACACATCTGTTTATGCTAAGTTAATAATGAGTGTACAAGTAGGACACACAAATCACAGCATCAGTGATGTTATTGAGGGAGAAAAGTAAAGTAATGTTGAAGTTTTAGAAAGAGAAAGGGGTGGGTTTTTTTTTAATCCCACTACTGGTATTCCAAAACTTTTTTGTACTTTATTTGCCTGATATATAGTATTAAGTCTTCATGCTTGCAGAGAATACTGCCATTCTCTTGAGTAAAATGGTGAGAGAAAAATGTTTTTCATGTAGCAGCTTTCATCTGCCCCTTTACCTTATATGATGAATTCCAGTTCTGTGAGAAAAATACTGCAGACTGCTTTATGCAATCCAGAGCACACTTTCAGTATTAGTGACAATTTTCTTTTAATTCTCTGTTCTTTGTTGTGTAATTCAATGCAGCAAGACTTTTTTTTTCCCCTTGTTGAATGTTCTTGCATAAATTGTATCAAGTTTGTGTGCATTCTGGTTTCTTCATTTTTGAACATCCTGATACTCCACCATAGTGATTATGGCACTACAAAGAAGTAAAGCAAAAAAGCATATGTTCATAGAGAAATGTTGGGGTGGATAACATAGCCAGTTCAGAAGGCTACTTGATGAGAAGTTGTTTCACAGGAGGTGGAGGAGATACAAGGCTATACTGGGGACATTTTGAAATGAGCTTTCTGATAAGCTCAAAAGGTGGGGTTTAACACTTGCCTTCAAAAGGGGAAGTGATGGTTATATGAGTTTTTACCATTAACAATCCCCAAGTTATATGTAATAGGAAAGAAGAATGGAGCTATCATTATATAGCAAGAAATTTTAAATGTAGCATGGTCCTCAATATAAGCATATAGTGATTGTGCAAGGGATGGAAAAGTTTACTTTCAGTTGTACCCATTTTAAACTTGTTTTCATGGTTTCTGGCTGTTCATTAAACAATTTATGAGCTCTCCAAAAACCAGCCACGATGGTGCTCTTCATGTGGGGAAATAAGTGTTTTTACTACAGTCCAGCCTCAAAGGTTAGCAGTTTACTCACGTTCCAACCCTAGTTTAATTCATTGTGTTGTATGTTTTGAACATTCTGCCATGTCTTCTTAATTAAAATGTGCTAATGAAAGTATTTCTCATCTCGTGGAGAGCTGATAGGATTCTATGAGCATATAAACAACTAAATATTTTCTGTGTTCATAATAGACCAAGAAGGAATGAGTGATAGACCTGAAACTGAAGAGACTGGAAGAACTTGCGATTCATGGCAGAGTGACCTTTGGGCACAAGTGAAAGACAAGTTAATGAAATATTTGCATCACAGCACAATTTTCCCAGAAAGCATCCCACGTAAATTTGATTATGTGCACAAAGACCTACTTATGCAACAGTACAACCTTCATGCAGCAGTGCACCAGCCAAAAGAAACCAGAACAGATAAAAATATTAATGAGTTCAAAAGTGCTAGTGGCCTCGGGTATTATGAAGTGACAGTTCTGGGTAAGTATTTGGTAGCTCAGCTGCTTAGCTCTTTGCTGTGTTAACTTGAGAATGACTTGAAGGTTTGTCAGAAACTGAGTGAATTTCTCTAAATTAATCAGTTGATTCTGAGTATTTCTTGAAGTTTTAAAAAATTATTGAAACTTTAGATGTTTGGTAGAGTCATGATTTAGGATCATTTTTTACTGGAAAGCTGTAATTCTCATTAAAAATGCCTTTAAATGAAATGACTGATTATCTTGTTTCTAGCATCACTTTTCATGTAAATGCAAGTTTGTGTATAGGTTTATGTGTATCCTTTGAAGAATGTATGTAGTCCTTAAGCTATTGATTATTACAATTAGAGGTAGGTCCTGTTTACTAGTTCAACCAGTCTGACATAATCAGGTAAATTATTCAATTGCATTTGATTGTCTTTTTTTGCTGAAGAAATAAGTTAGTGTTCTTAAAGGGAAGAGGACAACTATAAATGCTGCTTCTGAGCTTCATTCTCATTGAGTTGTTTTTTGAGTAGTGTTGTTCCTAAAGTGCCATTTTTCCATGCTAGAAAACGAAGGGCTGTATTTTAGCCACGCTCATCAGCTGCTCTCTGCTGCTTCCGGTTAGCACAAAGTGTCGGTTGATTGATCTTTATTTGTTACACATCAACTTGCATATCTGTATTTTATCTGGTTTTTAGTGTTACTGTGGGATATAAATCTGATTTTCTTTTCCCATTAAAAAGAGAAGGAAATTGCATAGCTTAACGATGCTCATGTTAAGTTCCTATAATTTAAAAGTTTCCATTATTTGCTAAGGGAGGTTTGCAGAGAAGGTGTTTGAATATTTACAGTCATTAAAATCCTTGGACTTACAATATCATATTCAAGATGGAAGTAGCACGAGTACTGCACTGCATACTGCATAGATAGACTGGTTGTAAAATTAATTTCTCTGTCCTTATAGCAGCAATAAAGTTAAAAAGGAGTGTGAAATGGCTTCCAATATTTTCTGAGCTAACAGTATTGTTAGCCTTAAATCGTAGTATGTTATAACATCATGTCAATTTGAATGTGCTTATGTGTAACTATATATATAAAAAATGTATTTTTAGATGTCAGTTATTAATTAATGAACAAAGAGCAAGTAAATACAAATCAGTGTTCAGCCTGCGGTAGTTTGGTTTTTAAAAAAAGAAATGGTGCATGAAGTTGCTAATGGGCTGTAGATGAAGTCTGCTAACTTAAATATTTTTTTTCAACAGGTATAAACCACGATGTAGCAGTAGATGTTGCATTTCTTCCACTGTTTTGTCCTGAAGATCCCCACTTATTTAAACTAGAAGACATTCAAAATGATACATTGCTGTCTTGTATGAGTTGCATCTCTGCATGTCAGCAGAAGGCCACTAGCAACGGAAGGCCTTGTGACATGCTTCCACTTTCAAGTGAGACTGGTTTTCACTGACGAAGGCCACTAGCAACGGAAGGCCTTGTGACATGCCTTGTGACTTGCCACTTTCAAGTGAGACTGGTTTTCACTGACATTACTCATCATCTCTTGTTGTATCTTTCAATGCAAGAGTTAATCCTCGGTAGAAATCTCTGTTGTAGGTCAGATGTTGTTCCCCTCTTTAGGGCACGAGAGGTGAATTCTATGTGACCACCTTTAGTAAATAGATGTAATATGGAACTTTCGAGGCAGTTTTTACTGGAGCTGTTCTCATTCTCTGAAGGTAGTATTTTAATATCCAAACCACAAACTCCTGAGTGACCTAGATTTGCAGTTATTTGTTGATGCAAAATTATACTGACATGGAAGTCAGTATGTGTGGCTGAGCATGTGAGTATTTGGCTTGATTTGCTTTGAAACAGTGGAATAACTGTCATTCAGCCAATCCATTTCACTGATGTCAGTTTGAACAGCTGCTTTAATGGAGCCTATGGTGCCTATAAACTGAAGTATTTGCCTGCTATTGAATTATTTTCCTTCAGATTATGCTTCTAATTACAGGCACCTCACCACAAATACGGTGAACGCTGTTAATGTGTATCATACTGCAAAGGGCTATATAAGCTATATAAGTTCTGATGTTGTCATTTCTAGTGATTGAATTTAAAAATAAAATTCTACCCCCAAAAAAAAAAAATCCCAGTAGGCCAGCATTTAATAGTTAGAGTGAGGTTTTTCACAGAAAGAAGGTTGAACATACCCACACGACAATGTTTTCCATGCAGTAAATTCAGTAGACCTTTCTACTGTATGTATATTAAAACACCTTTTCTTTACTTCCAGATGAAATTGTAAAAGCAGCGATGGATCTAGATGGCAAACATGTTATCTGCATCTTGGACATCTGTCACTTGGGTGATGATAAGGTAGAAGTCTTTCTGAGCAAAATCTACAAGACAGTGGAACCTGGTGTTCTGGATCCAGTGTAATTTAATAACTTATTTTTCAAATTTATGTTGTCAAAAAGAGGGAAATAAAATGGCTGTAACTTGAATACACCCTATACACATTGCACTTTTCCAGAACTAGCAGACACAAACATGAAATTAGGATTCTTAAAGTAATTGTAATGGTCATCCATGTAACTGAGAAGGACGATTGTTGCCTTTATTTTTTTGGCAGTCTTGAAACAGATTGCACAATGTCTTGGTCACTTGTGTTCAAGGAGGATGAACAGGCAATACAGTGAGCTTATTTTTTGATAGGATATCAAGGAGAAGTAGTATAATTGTCATCTCTCTTTTCTCTGCCTGTGCACATACATACACAGGAACTATATGTATCAGGGTGAGAACTGAGAAGACAGACAGGCTTTCCCAATATTAAAGGCAATGTTTGCAAAAGGATTAACTGGCTACGATATAAATTTAGCCTGGAAGTTAGAATAATTTTTAGGATTAGAGCTGTTATGTTCTATAGTGATCTTTTAGTAGGAAGTAGTAGAGGCAGCCTAACTGCTCTTTAGGCTTGAAGCTTACTGTGTTTGTGAAAAGGTTTAAATACCATGGTGCCTTTAGTACCGGGGACTGGGCTCAGTGATCCAAGAAGCCAGTTTCAATTCTTTTTACCTGAGCAAGGTCAGGTGTTTTTATATGTCTGCTTTTGTATATACAGTATATACAGGTAGTGAGCATAGTACCTGAAGGTTTTTAACATATTTTATTTATTATTAAAAGAAATATTTTTTAAAAGAAACTTTGTTAGCAAAGTGACTTGCTTCTAGCTTTGCAAGAGAAAAACTGTCTCTAAGGAGTGCTTAGCATGGCAGGATACACAGTTTGTCACACCATTACGTTCTTTTCTGTTGACCGCCACTGTCCTCTTTCTTCTTAGTAACAGCTGTATTCTGAGTACATGAAGGAGCTCAGCAGCTGTGAGAAGCTGCTACTTCCACAAAAGCAAGAGACTCTGTAAAATGCTCTCAACTTTTTGCCTGTATACTAAGTAGCAGCTGGCTCCTGCTGAGTTCAGAACTAAGTCCTGATTTTTCCTCCCATTTCAAACGATCTCAAATCATTTATACAACTGTATCCTTAGGAAATTACTCTCAGGCAGGAGCTAAAAGACACTGCTATTTGACGACTTGTCCATGTGAAATGCTGGTCTCAGTTCAATTCTCTGAGAACTAATGATTGCATTACGGAAGCTTGCCAATTAAATTGTACCATTATGGACCAAAGCCCACAGTTAATTAATAGGAACAGATTTACTCTTTTGTCGAAAACTTCTAGGCACATTTTAGCAGCCTGTTGGTAATTGGGGAGTATCTCTCTTGAGTAGTAGCTCATTCCTCTGCCCTGGGGATAGTGGACTTTGTCATCAAGTACTTAAATTCTGTACCCTAACTGCAGTTAATGGTATTTGAAGGAGAAATGTAACTATCTTCATTATAGTGCAAGTTCACAGGCAACTTTGGATACAGAGTAAAAGCTGTAACATTCTAAAGAAATGGATAAAATTATTCTCTCTCTCTAGTGTGGTTTACAGTTTAAAAATGTATTAATGAGAAAAGTTTAACTTAAATTGTACAGGGACTAGAAGTTAATTAAATGTGATTGTATTGTATGTTTACATTTTGTGTGGATCATATAGTATTAGTTCTAGAGCAATGCTTGCCAACCCATGCCTTTCAGAGTACATTGTAACCTTGCCGTAGAAGGCAAAATGAAAGCAGACTAATCCGAGAAGAGCACGGTGTTGCTTGCAATATGTTATTTATGTGATTTTGTTGGTTATGGTTATGTGAAGGTTAGAGGCCATTGCTCTAGAGCGAGAGACCTTAGCACCAGCACTTCGTGTACCAAACTGAGCCATGCTGACTGTGTCAGCCAGTATTTTTTATTTAGATATACTTCAGGTTGAAGTCTAATTTTAACAAAACCATTATTTCTAGAAGCAATTTTTAAAGTGATTATGTTTATACAAAAGGACTGATGTGGCTAACACTGGCCCAGAGCCGCTCTGTTCAGTTGTTCTAGCCACTCTACCCATCCCATGCAACAGAAATACATGAAAGGCTGCTTGCCTCATTGCACTGCTTATGACACTTTAAACGTGTAGCATTAATAATTTCATCCTCCATGTTAGGACTTCCTAACTCTAAAAGAACTGTCAGTATGGTGTGGAATATGTATAATATGTGCTGGAGACTTTAAAGTATATAATTTATTTTACAGAAGTGTTTGAAATTTTTCATGGCAAAAGCTGGGAAGGAGAGAGATTTACTCTTGCAGAATGAAGTGCCAAGCTTAGAAGCTCAGGCTCTCTCTGTGTGTAGCTAGAGAATGTTCAATGCCTGTAGTAGACTTGGAATTTCCATATTCTGGGTCATTCTGCAGAGGCACTTAGCCCATCCCCATCAGTTACGCTGAACTGAACATGCCAACTTCAGTTTCTGAAGTGTTGCAGTGTTAACGTAAGGTTCTGCCGCGCTGCCTCCCTCCTCCCTGCCAAACCAGCACGGTAGCACTGGGGCGAAGGGCTTCTCTGCAAAGAAACTACTTGCTGTTTTATTTCACTTGGTGTTTATTGATGCAAGTATAAAACCAAAGTATTTTTGATCCCGAGTCTGTCAAAACGTGTTAATTTTGCCATGTTAAACCAAGATATAAAATCTTCACTCCTGCAAAATGTCGTAGGAATAATCTTTCTTGCTGCTGTGTATTGCTGCTGCCAAGGGTAAAATACTATCAGAGCACGTTTCCTAACTGTACTCTACAATCTTGTATTTGCATGTTTCTTACGTTTCCAGCATTAATTTAAAAGAAAACTAAAAGGCGATAAACTGTTTGTAGCTAATGGTACTTTTCAGTGTATAAAACTTGTTAAGTCATAGATCATAGAGGCAAGATGAGTTTTGAATTCATGTGATGTAGAACTAGTGTGACACTGAAAACCAGACAGTATAAATAAATGAACTGATACATGTCAATGTCTTGGGTTATTTCTTTCAATTTCTTCCCTTTTTCGTTTCACTTCTGAAAGCTGTTTCAGTTTCCCAGGAATCTTCTCCACAATCATGTTTACCCTTTTAAAGCATCTTTATAGGAGAACCGGGTTGAGCTTCCATCAAAATATATGCCTCCAACTGCAGCTCCTCTTGGCTTTCGACACTGTGCAGCATGACATCTGCAGAAAAATGGGAAAAAAGTCTTGACGACTTCACACTTTGTCCTGTATTTTCATTATGGACTATAGAGTTGTGACATTAGTAAGGTTTCCATTTTTCTGTTCTAATATAAGAAAGCAAGAGTTGATAATAGTAATTGTTACGGAATGCAACACTGACTGAATTCAGAGGAAGAATCTATAGAGCTTACATCCAGAAACAGAGAGTTGAGTCACGACCATTGAGGCATCTCAGTGTAAGTCTTGACAGGGAGCTGGAGTGTGAAAATGGGCTGGAAGAGGTGGTTTGCTTCTATGATCAGTTCAGGTGATTGCATCTCTTGCATTGGTACAAATCGATGTTAAAATCAGTTTGTTACAAACGCCAGAACAAGCTGGACCTGACAGAACCAAATGACTGAAAGAATCTGGAAGGAGAAATGCAGGGAATGACTTGGTTATCTTTCTCCATAAGATGGGTAAATTTTTTTAATATTTCCTTCCCTGTGCTTTTGACCTTTTTAACAAGGTCTTTACATCACAAATTGCATTTGAAGCGAGAACCCTGCGCTCACATCACTGAATGAAAGATGACCTGGTCCTCTGAAGTGACATTCAAGTTGAAATAGGAGCAGGGGGCTTGAGCAGTATCTCGGGAAGCATCACCGAAGCTGGAATTTGCACAGTAATGAGAGAGAAGGAGGGGGAGGACGATGCTTTGTGACAAGGAGCAGAAGGTTAGGGCTGGGGGTGACTTGCATGTCCTTGGGGCCGCATCTCTACTTCACGACAGCAGGAGAGCCCTTGTGCCCCGTCCCAGCCCCCGTGCCAGCCAGGCTTGCTGGCCTTAACTGGGCGGTGTCGAGTTCCTGCTGGAACTGAAATTTCAAACTCCGTGAGCCGGCTGTGGGCTGACAGCAACCACCACCCGCCGAAAATAGCTGCAGGCATCTACGATTTGTGCTTAGATGAACAAGCAATGAAGCAAGCAGGTAAATTCGATTTTTTCTGCCTCCTGGTGGCTGCTAGTATTTTATTCAAGAGCGCAGAGGCATTTGCTGTGAGTGCCTCTCTAAGTTTATTCTATTTCGACAGCACTAGCAACAGGTCTGTGTCCGAGCAGTGTGAATGTGGCCTCTATGGATTAAATTCTCCTCTGCTTAGTGCTCGGGGGCTCGTGGGCGTTCCTAAGTCTGCTAATCTTCAAGCCTGTGACGCAAATACCCAGTTCACCATCACAAACCCACCGTGGCTAGCACTGATTGAAAGAGGCAATTGCAGTTTTGCTGAAAAAATTAAGGTGGCAGCCAGAAGGGGTGCAACAGCAGCTGTGATCTACAACGCGCCGGACAAAGGCAACGACACCGTCCTGATGTCGCATCTCGGTGAGTATCGCTGCCTGCAGCGCTGAAACCTGATCGTTTCTCTCCAGTTTGGTCCAGGACAGCACAGCCGGGCTGTAAAGAAGCAGTTGGGTTTGTTGGGGGTTTGTTGCTTTAATCAAGAAATTCAGTGGGGGGAAAAAAGAAGTTGTTATGCAGTCTGAGTCTGGACTTCAGCGCTTGGTAAGGAACAACTCTGCCACTACGTTCTGGGCTTGGCGCAGCGTGGCCAGACTGGTGGGTCTCTGAAGCTAGCACCATTTTTCACTTGTACAGCATGCACGTTATTTTAGACAGTGGTGTAGAGAAGCCCGTGGTGTCTGCTTTGAAGGCACTAGTTTATTTTTCGAGGTTAGAGGACACAAATGAACTACGGGTGCCTGCAGCATAGGTATGTGCTTTGCAGATGGCAAGCCAGATTTTGCTTTTTTTTTTTTTCCCCCCCTAAATTGTTCTAATCCTTTCTGAATAGTGGCTGATCTCAACCTCTTCTGGGATTCCCTAATTCCTTAATGAAAGGTTTGGCAAAATGATCGTCATCACCCATGCTGGCACTAATAGCTCTGCATCTGTCCTTAGGGGAGAACAGAGAAGCTAACTGCGATACTGTATTGCCTGGCTTTTATTTCTGTGAGCGTTCCTCTAGGTCAACCTGTGTAAGAAGCATTTTAGTACAAAGCATACGTATACATGGCTAATTCCATCAAATAGACTTCAGTGGAGGTGCATTAGGAATCCTTAAGCTTTCAGTCTTGCTCATATGATTTTGTGAGCAAACTGAGTGATTTTTTTAATCCAGAGATGAGCCAGCATTTTACTGACCATGTCCCCGTGCTGGTCTAGGTTGCCACTTCGGGACATTTCTTGCTGTGGAGCCCACACCTGGGCCGTTTGCAGGAGTTGGCCCACACCGGCTGCCGGGCAGCCTGGCTCAGAGGCTCAGTCCTGCACCTCTAGGAGCATCTCTGGTGCTTACACACCTGGCCATCATGCAAGGCGAGGCTCTGGAAATAAAGCATCCTAAACAGGGTACTGCACAACACAATAAAAATGTGCTGTCTGGGGCTGGCAGTGCAGTGGCTGCTGGCACTACACAGCCAGCTTTGACTCTCCTGATACCGTGCCAGAGCTGGTGTTTGCAAATGGAGCTTAAATGTTTTACTGGAACCACGTAGCCAATACACCAAAGGTTTTGTTCTGCCTCTTGGAGAAAGTGATTTAGACTTCAGTGGCCAGCATGTCACAGTTTAGATTAACTTGCTTTTTTAATTTAGTTTTGGAGTGTGCCAGCTCATACCAACATGGATGAATAAAGGAAGGATTCATGTAGCTGCAAAATCAGTGCCAGCTGCGCTTCTTGCGAGCAGTGATGGGCCCAGCTGGCCCGAGGCGTGCTCCTGGCAGGAGCGGGGCGGCCCGTTGCCCTGCGGTCAGCGGAGGAGAATGGGATGGAACCTTGTTTAGACATGCTGGGTAACTGGGATGTCACAAACCCGACAGACTAGGCTCCAGAAATAAGATAGTTATTTAGGATGAGCTCTGAAAGCAGACCCTAACTTTTCAGGTGTGGGGTTTTTTTCTAAAACTAAAAAGATTTTTTAAGTCTTGAAAGCAACAGATATATCACCCAAGAGTGTATTTCATGAGACATGAAGTCCCAGCTTTCTTAATTTAATTCATTTAGTTTTCTCAAAGACAAATTGTGATTCTTACAGGGCTATTTCCTATAGTTGTCCTGTAGGACTAAAGTGGGTATTACGATCTATTTGGTGGCAAAGAGGGTTTATAAATCAGTGCAGTAGTTGTGTGTGTTAAACACGGTGAGGGCAAAATGCTGCAGTGAGATGAGCCCTTCATCTCATCAGTACAGGAGAAGCATCTGCTCTCTGTATTTGTTGCCCTCAGCATGAAGTGTGGAGCTGTACGTCTGTAGGTAAAACAGAAAGCCTGGCAGAGGGGTGGTCATTGCAGCACGGTGCTTGGAGCAAAAGGGTGCTTGGAGATGATTTTTTTTTTTTTTCAGGAGAGTTGTTCACAGGGCTGGGGAAGGAAATCTCCGATTTGGCTGGAATCTGCCAAAGGTGGCATTGCCCAGAGAGGCCTGAGGAGACTTGGGGATTAACCCTCTCTGCCGTTTGGGTAGGGGGCCTTTGGAGATGAGATGCCCTGAGACCTGCGAGCTCCTGGTTACACAGGAGCAGTAGCCTCCAGGGTTATCGGCCAGGGCTCGTTTGGGGCCAGCCCTGGCATCTTCACTCATCCGTCCGCATTGCCTGCTGCTCCGCGGGGCTGTAGGAATCCCACCTCCTCGCTTCTTTATTAGGGCTTGGGGCCCTGCCGTCCTCCTCCCTTCCCGCTGACTTTATTGTAAAGTCAATAGAGCTTTCTAGCCAAGCTTATTTTCTGTTACAACAGTGCAATGTTACGTATGTATTTTGCACCATAAAACACCCGCTCGGTCTTACAGCAATGAAATAATTTGTTCTGGGCGAAGTCCAGGTGTGCAGGAAATGTTGGTAACGTAAAGCTGCTAGGAAGGAACAAAGAGGGAAAACTCCCCCCTCGGTGGCTCCATCCTCATCCTCTGCCACAGTTCCTGCTACCGGTCACCAGTTTGACCTGTTACTGGGTACTGATCTGTTGTTACACACACAAGATAAACCCAATACATTTATAGCTTTTACTATGGAAAACCGTAGAGGTCAAGGTATCAGTAACAACTTCCCCATTCCTCTCCAATTACTTGAACCACTGGTGGGAAAATGCACTACTTTATAATCTGAAAGATTTTCTGTAGGTGTTTGTGTCTTATTTGCATGAAGTTAGATGGCTCCAGTGGTACAGAGACTAAGCTTTTGCTGGAAGAAAAATGTCTCTCTTTAGGAGTTCCAGCATGCACTTGATTTCCTCTGGAAAAGAAGTGGAATCTGTAACAACATTTTTCCAGCACTGCTCCTTGAAAATTAAATGGAAATCCAGGAATTACCAAGCTTTTGAAACATAACCAAATTTAAACAAGGTATTTGGGGGCTCCTTTTTTTAGTAACAAATATCAGACCACTGGCAGCAGTGGAATAACTGTGCTCAGCAAAGCCAGAAGCAGCCGGGTCGGGCCCATGCTCTGTCAGCAGTGCTGGCGCGCGCCGGTAGATGGCTGTGTCCTCTTGTCACTGTGATTATTTTTTTTTTCCCTGTTTTCCTGTTCATTTACAAGAGAAAACAATTAACTGGAGATAGGAGTATTAAAAAAAAAAAAACAAAAAAACAAAAAAACAAAAAACACAGTTATTGCTGCCATGTGGATACTAGTCTAATATAGCAGCTAAGCTAAAATATCCAGTGTGTTCTGAAAGGTTTTCTCCAAGGGATTTACTAAGACCCGGTGAAGGAGAACTCTCTCACTGGTTAAAGCCTCCAAAGCTGATGAGGGACAGTACCCTGGCGGAACCATTGTACTACAGGGGCGAGCAAATACCTCAGTTTGTACAACAAAAATAATTGGCAATCCTGACACTTAAAAAAAAGTAATGGATTTGCGTTTCCTTGCAACTTGCTTCCAGGACATTCCGTAGCCTCAAAGTCTAACTTTTGTTATCGCAGAAGTACTTTGAGATAGGATCTTACTAGCCGTTGGTGCAACACCTATTATTGCCTGACAATGGAGTTTGGTTTTATCTTTTGTTTTGAAAGCTGGTATAAAATCTCGCTCAGGTTCCCTATGTTAACCCTCTAAAATATCCTTGCTTATTTGATCTTCACTACCATTTCTAGTTTACAACACGTTTTGAGCCATCTCCTCTGTTCACTATAGAAAAACCGGGCTCTCTGTCCTAGCTTTGAACAGCCTGTGGGATCTGTGTGTGCAAACAAACCAACTTCCAAGAGCATCCATGCAAAGCTGATGCCACAAACTTCCCTTTTCATTTATTCCTTGTGCAGTGCCGCTGCTAACAGCAGCCCAGATGCCTCCATGAAGTCAATGTTCTCATAGCGTAGACTAAATTCCTCCATTTATTGTCCGAGAAAATTGTCTAAGTGGCTTCACGTCTTTGATGCAGTGAGAGGTGCGGAGGCCGGGAGGGCAGCAGCAGGGAGGGTGAAGCACGGAGCCCTTCACCAGTGGGAGCCATCGCTGTGAGAGTCTAGGAGAGCTGGGGCGCGTCCCTCTGGAGAAGGCTTGACGGGTTCTCATCCATGTGTACAAATTCCTGATGGGGCCAGGGAGGGTGAATATAATGGAGCCAGACTCCTCTCAGTGGCGCCCAGCAGAAGAAATAGAGGCAATGGGCACAAACAAGAAATTACATAAGAAAAAACTCCTTCACTGCGAGGGGGGCAGGTTGCCCAGAGAGGTTGTGCCTGCCAGGCAGTTGTAGGGAGCAATAAGGGCTCCCTTCAGCCTCCTCTGCTCCAGGCTGAACACCCCCAGGTCCCTCAGCTGCTCCCCATCAGCCTTGGGCTCCAGACCCCTCACCAGCTTCGTTGCCCTTCTCTCGACATGCTTCAGCCCCTCCATGTCCTTCTGGGAGTGAGGGCCCCAAAACTGAACCCAGCATTCAAGGTGCAGCCTCACCAGTGGCGAGTACAGGGGGACGATCCCTTCCCTGATCCTGGACCCAAGTGCAGGACCCAGCACTTGGTCTTGTTAAACCTCATACAATTGGCCTTGGCCCATCGATCCAGCCTGTCCAGATCCCTCTGTAGAGACCTCCTACTCTTGAGCAGATCAACATTTCTACCCAGCTTAGTGTCATCTGCAAACTTGCTGAGGGTGCACTCAATCCCCTTGTCCAGGTTGTTGATAAAAATGTTAAACAGAACTGGCCCCAGCACTGAGCCCTGGGGACACCATGTGTGACTGGCCTCCAGCTGGATTTAACTCCATTCACCACCACCCTTTGGGCCCGGCCATCCAGTCAGTTTTTTACCCAGCAAAGAGTATGCCTGTCCAGGCCATGAGCAGCCAGTTTCTCAAGCAGAATGCTGTGGCAAATGGTGTCAAA